CTGCAGTAAAATAGGTTTTTCTCCACGAAGACTTCATGTTTTTCGAACTTTGATCAGAAATTCGGAATCAGCATCGAATTCTGCATCTGATGATGTATTAATTTTAAAAAATTAAGGAAAAAATGTTTTTTGATGGTCCTGGAGTCCCCTCCAGGTGCGAAACTACAGGTGAAAAATGAAAGTCGCTTTTCGACAGAAAAAAGTACCTCATTTTACTCAGAATTTAATGCTGTTTCCGAATATGTGATTCTTTTTGAGAAATATTTTGGGCAAAAAAACGGCCTTACCGCCACTTGTCCTTTGGAACTATCGATGAAATTATTATAATCCAAAATTCTAATGGTTCGTTTAAATAAATAAATTTTAAATAAAACAAAACCTTTTTTTTTAAGGAAAATCTCGTGGTTTTGGATATGTTGAATTTAATGAATCCAAAGCTGTTGATGAAGTTCTTCTTCAAAAACCACATATCATCAATAGTCGAACAATCGAGGTGGAAAGACCTGTACCAAAAGAACAAATACAACAACAATTCAGATCTAATTCAACATCTAGTGGTCCTGGCATGTCTTCATTTAATCGTAATAACTGTTCGAATTATGCAACAGCAAATTCTGGTCCACCACAGGCCCGTAGCCAGGGGGTGCACAGCGTGCCCGTGCACCCCCTTTGGGATTTTTCTTCATTTTAGATTTATTACATGATAATTCGCTAACTTAAACTGAACAATTTTTTCTGTTTGTAGATGAGTAAACAACTAAATATTTTAAACTTTTTAAAGTCAAATAAGAGAACAACAGACAACTCAACGTCTTCTGCTCTTTCACAACACGATCTGCCTCAACCATTACAAACAGTACCTGTGGTTCTTGACGAATCGAATACAACACTAGATATCGAAGCGGACAGCTCTTCTGCTTCAAAGAAATTTAAATCAAATGATCATGAAACTTCAACTGATGCAGAAATTCAGCCATTTAGTAAAAATGACATCGGCTTATTTGTTGGTAAAGATCATATATCAGCCACAGAAATTCATGATGTATTAACAAATCCATGGATACCATCAGATAATTATAATTTTCCTCAAGTTCTCATTCATAAAAAAATGCGATCAATTTGCCAACATTCATGGTTATCCAGATATTCTTGGTTAAGCTATTCTCTTGTTTCTCGTGGTGTTTTCTGCCGCTATTGTGTTTTGTTTAAACGAAAGTGATCTTCGTCTGATCGAACAAAAACTCCTCTTGGACAACTTGTTTCAAAACCTCTTACTTCATTACACAATGCACACGAAGAACTACAAGCTCATGAAAAGAGTAATTATCATTTATTTTCCAAAGAACAAGCAGAAAATTTTATTATAAATTATTAAGTACCAGGAAGAGCTATTGATCATATATTAGATAAAGAAGATCAAG